TAAAATATATATATATATATATATATATATATATATATAATATATATAATATATATATAATATATATATAATAAAATATTTTAAAAACATATGTATATTAAAACATTTTTTTTTATAATTGAACAATTATTTATACCTTTGCAAATCATATCTTTGCAGCACGTCGTGTATGGAAGGATTATTTCCCAGCTGTCGACGCGATAGTATTTCTCGTCGACGCAAGCGACAGAACAAGATTATGGGAATCAAAAGCAGAGTTGGATGCGTTGTTAACTGATGAGCAACTCAGTGCGTGTCCGGTTCTCGTGCTAGGCAATAAAATTGACAAACCATCAGCGGCTTCGGAAGATGAGCTCAGAAATTTCTTTAATCTATACGGACAAACAACAGGAAAGGTACGACTACACAAATCCGAATAAATACGAATACAAATTCTACTATATTAATAAAGCTACATTAGTAGATTGGCAAAAAAAGTTTATGAATAGAATTTTTATTGAGAGATGCAATTGTGAAAACTTTTAGGGTAAAGTTGCTCGCAGTGAGATACCCGGCCGTCCGCTAGAACTGTTCATGTGCTCAGTTTTGAAGCGACAGGGATATGGGGAAGGCTTCCGTTGGCTTGCACAGTATATTGATTGAACATATATATTATTATACGCATGACAGATTCAACAGTTTCATCATACATTTCCCTTTCCTATGGTAACGATGCCGTTACCAGAACTGTAATCTTCACGTGTATTCAGCAGTAGGAGAGGAAATACCATTTCATCGAAAAAAAAGGACAAGCAGTAACCAAAATTCGAGACGATTTTCACAACTAGACACGAGATGAATATTATCGAGAACATTGTACATGCGAAGAATAGGATTAATTTCCTTTCTTCGACGTTGATACATGGAAAATCCGGCAAACACAATGTCTCTTTATCTGGATACTTCGAGTCCCATACAGATTCCGTGAGGTCCTATCATTTTACGAGTCACACATATTAGGGGAATGGTCATCGAACGTGCTGAAGAATGAAATAAAAACGTTTTGATAAAATAAAACTAATAAACTATTTAAGAATTCCAAGTGTTTTGTAGATTTATTTTTGGTGATTTATTTTTAATAATGTTATACGTAATGAAAAAAAAAGTCATGATGCGAAGTAATGTATCACATGTGTCATAATTTCTGAAAATTTGTAAGTTTACAGCATGTATAATTTATCAAAGTTGGATTGATTTGTTAATTGGTGCTCTTTTTCTTCTCTTTATTTAAAATGTAAAACTTAGAACCATAACGACGCTGCTGAATGCTGTTTTATATTTAATTGCTGTTGTTTATCTTTGTTTTTTTTTTACCTTATTACTAATTTTTC